TCAGCAGGATATTTGGAGATTTTTCTGATTTCTTTTCATATAATTAAATTGCGCAAAACATTTAAAAAGAATGACCCAGATCTGCATGTAGCACTACCCCTTTTATGTATACCCCTTGCTGATATATTTCCAGCAACTTCATAATGTTCTCTAAAACTTTAAAACTTTCCTTCACTCCAAGGAGCAGCCAGAGACAAGGTGAAGTAAGCTGCCCATTATTTAGAGTGGCAGAGCCAGGATCAGCCCAGGCCTAGTCAAAGCCCTATGACACCATTAAATGTGACTTGTACTTTCTCCTTAATTTTCACCTTTCTACTCACTTCTCTGGCTCTAAACTGTCCCATGACCTGTACTCTGGGTACAGAACTTTCACATACTTACACCTGGAGAGGCAGCTGAAGCAAGAATTTGCCCGAGGCAAGGCACAATATTGGCCTAGAATTACCTGCAAAATGGGCACCAGCAGAGCTGCCCTTTGAGGTGAGGTGATGGAAGATCCTAAATGAGGGCAGTGGGGACCCCAAGATGGTGAAGCTTCCGCTTCCTCACCTGGGGGTACCTAGCTGCAGGAAATGAGCAGGGACTTGGGCTCAGGGAGGCAGAAGGTACATTCTCCTCATCTACAAGATGCAATAAGCTGTTTTTCCAGTTGCTACTGGGATCATTGTTTTGACCTCTGATCCGCAAAGGCAAAAACTGCAATTTAAGAAAAAAACAACCTATAGCTTGAGATAAGTAGGTCTCTTATCTTAACTAGCTCTGATCCCAAGACAATCCCAAGGCCAGCTCTGAACTTCCAAAAGCCAGCTGCAGCCAAAGCCAGGGGGAGACCTGCTCTACAGGCTTGTCTCAGGCCACTGAAGGGATTCCTTTTCATTTCAGATCACAGAGGGAAATAGGCAGTGAAAGCAAACCTCCCCCTTCAGCTGAAATTCTGCCATCACATCCGATGTCAATCCTGGTTAGCTTACTTAATGCCACAGGACACTGCATGAGTCCTGCACCTTTCTGAATAATACTTCGATCACTTGTATACTGCACTTTATCGAGGGCAGTGGTGGGCAAACTCATTAGTCAACAGAGCCAAATATCAACAGTACGACTGAAATTTCTTTTGAGAGCCAAAAACCGACTTCTGCGATGGGCCACAAAGTTTCAATCACACTGTACGTGCGCACCCGCACGTGGTATTTTGTGGAAGAGCCACACTCAAGGGGCCAAAGAGCCGCATGTGGCTCATGAGCCACAGTTTGCCGACCACTGGACTAGGGGAAACCTCTGGGACCACAAAGGCCTTCTGAGGGAAGCCAATCTCTCTGTAGACAGGGGGTCACTTGTCCCAAACAGAAATACATTCTTCCATGTGGACAGTAATTGAATCCTTTTCTCAGTCTTTGCTAAATGTGAGTGAAAGCACCCTTGCCATTTGTACTGATCTGTAACAACACCCCCCCCTGGAGTAAAACTAGTCTGTTGCTGTGCAAGCCCGGCAGGGAGGTGACTGCTCCTCCCACACAGAAACTCTGTAGCTGGCACCGCAGAGAATACTTGGCAAAGGTTAGCAGAGAATGATAACAGAGAACACAGCAAAATGACTATTTTTTTCATTTTGTTTCTTTATTTTTCCATTTTGAACAGTGGGTTTGACGCTCCCCCTTCCTTTTGGGAGGGAAAAGGTTTGAGTAAGGTAAAGCATGTTTCTCCAGTCCAACCATGGGTTCCAGTCTGGGCCCAGCTTCCCAGAACAAAAGTGCCCACCCTGTGGGTTCTCAGAGGCCTACTTGATCTGACTAGTAAAATTAAGAGATTTTACTTTGAGTGGTAAACACACAATGCAATATACAGATGATGCAGTATAGGACTGTACACTTGCAACCTATGTAATCTTATTAATCAATGTCACCCCTGATAAATTTAATGGGGGGGGGGGGATTAAAACTTCACTTTAAAAATGCCACACAGACCTTCCATTCACATCTTTCAAACTGAATGTGGCTTTTTCTCCAGAGTTACACAGAGGGCTTGAAAGGGAAAATTATATTAGAAGGACTTTATTTTGTGATCACAAAGTTGAATGGGGCATGAGAGATTACTGAACCCTACCTCCTTATTCTTAAAACCATGTCAGAAATGACTGAGGATTTATGGGATAAAAGTTTCAAAAGATTCTGGGTGAATTTACCAATAACAATAACAATAATAAAGGGGGCGAGCAGAGAGAGTGGTATTCAACTTATGAATAAAAACAATTAATCCTTCCTTCTATTTATATGAGGTACCAACTCACAGAGACGGATGTAGAATGGCAGTTGCTAGGGGCTAAGCAGAGGAAGGGAATAGGAAGTTGGTATTTTATCAGTACAGAATTTCGGTTTTGCAAGATGAAAAGAAGAGTTCTGAAAATGGATAGTGGTGATGGTTGCATAACAATGTGAACATACTTAATGCCACTGACCTATACACTTAAAAAGAATAAAGATGGTAAATTTCATCCATATTTTACCAAAAAGAAACTTTAATTGGGGGAGAGGGAGAGAATTCTATCAACCTGCTAATTTTCATTTGGGGACCAGCGTGACATAATGGCTGATAACTAGGAACTCTGAGTTTCTCTCTGTGTTCTGCATTTACCAGCTGGGAACTTTTGAACAAGTCACATGACATCTCTGAGGCTATTTTTTGGTTTATAAAAATGGAAATAATAACAAAAGTCTCCTACCTCATAGGCTATGAGGATAAGAGAAGAGGTAACTGAATTTTATTAGCACAAGAGTGAGCACTTGCCAAAGTGAGTTACTAAAAAGTAAGCAATAATTAAATGATAAAATTACTAATAGTACCAGAGAGATCTCTAAGAGCCTTTAAAACCTTCGTCTTACGGGAAAAAAAGAAGCCCAGCTTGGAAGTCAAAAGATGAGCTTCAGGAGTGGCTGTGGGCGTGAGACTTCTGTAACACACAAGGGGTGACAAAGATGATCTTGTAGATTACCAGGAAGCCAGTTCAGCTTTGTTGCTTGGCGGGAGCCAGCCCTGGCAGCATTTTCCTCACCTCCTAAGCTTCTCGGGAACGTCCCGGGCGAGGGAAGGGGTCCAAAGGTTGTGCCAGAGAGGGCTGATAGCAAAACCCCTTCCTAAGCCCGAGGTGGCGACATGGTGCAAGGTTGTGCAAGACACCTACGCATTGGGAGCAAGGATCCCGCAGCCTCGTTCCTCTCCTGCCAAAGCCTACAACTCTGCCCGCTGGGAGAGCTGCAGGGAACTGCAAACTCCTCAGGTGCAACAGGGACCCCCCAAGAAACGGCATCCCCAAAACAGCCTGTGTTGCAGAATTATAAATACCTCCTCTGCACATGCGCACTAAAATTTGCGAGCGTCCCGGGGCACAACCGCGCCCACTGCGCCTGCGCCGTCTAGCAGTCCTTCGGACACTGGACAGGAAAGGGGGATCTCGTGGTCCCAGGAAAAGAAGAGTGGGTCTGCGGTGGCCGCTCGGTCCCCGTATCCTCGTTTCTTACCTCGTAATGCTTCATGGTTTCCTCACACGGCGGCTACCGCTCCTGCTGCTACTGCTGCTGCTGCCTCCCAGCAAGCAACGCAGCACAGGTCCCTCACGCGCTCACCACTGCTGCGCGAGACTAACCACGGCTCCGCGCCCGCCCCGCCCCTCCCCGCAGCGCGTGCCCTCCCAGCCAATCAGCGTGCAGGGCGCCCACCTTCGTCCCCTCCCCACGGGGCTGGTCTGAGCGTAGGCTAGCCGCTCTCACCACAAAGCTGGCCAATCAGCTTGCGGAATCCATCGAGGGGGCGGAACGCGGGCACGAAGTGGGCGAGAAAGAAGGGGCGTGGCCCTCCACCAATCAAAATGGGTCTGGAGGCCGCGCGCCCCTTTCCCCGCCTCGGGATGGCGTCGCTGTGGAAACGAAAGGAAGCGACGGTTACTGCGAGGCGGGGGCGGGATCAAGAAGTTGAGTGACAGGGAGGGCAGCATCCACCAGGCGGGCGGCTAAGCTAGGTGAATTCCGAGGTGGTCGGCCCCTGGGGTACTGGGGAGCAACGGAAGAGGGCTAGGGGTTGGGGCGTGGGCTGAAGCGCTTGTGTGGAGTGGCCTGTGGCGAGGAGACCCTTCTCTGTCATGATCGGGAGGGAAGGAAAGGGGAAATGGGTGGAGGAAAGCACCCTGAGACCCTCCCAATCTGTAACCAGGGGTTGTCTTCACAAGCCCCCGTCTCCCTATGGCAGGGGACCCACATTTGTTTCCGCCTGCGCTGTCCGGTATTGTCACCACTTGAAGCTGGTGAGCCCTCGAAATACGGCTGTTCCAATTTGAGATGTGTTGTATAAATGACAGACACATCAAATTTCAATGACAGTATGAAAAGGAAATTGTTTTTAATCTCATCATAACCTTTTATGTTTATTACACCTTAAAATGATAATATTTTGGCTATATTGGATTAAGATATCTTTCTAAAATTAAGTTCCCCTGTTTAATTTTACTTTTTTTTTTTAACAAAGTACCTTTTTGTGTGATATATTTGTATTAATTTCCAAGAGGAAAGTAGAGGGAGAGAGGAATAGAAACATCAATGATAGGAAAAAAATCATTGATTGGCTGCTTCCTACACGCCCCCAACTGGGGATAGAGCCGACAACCCCAGGATGTGCCCTGACCCAGAATCCAACCATGACATCCTGGTTCATAGGTACATGCTCAGCCACTGAGCCACTCCTTTTACGTTTGGCCAGGCTCGTTTTACCCTAACATACCTATTGGAACATTGAAAAATCACAGACACAGCACCCATTTATGGCTGGCAGTTGTGACTCTCACACTATCTGGTCTAAGGTCATGCTATCTTTTGTCATGAACCAGTTGGGGAGGTTGAATGCTAACACGTGTGTGCACACCACACACATACAGAATCATGCACACAAGATTTCTGGACAGGCTGAGTGGGCAGCACCTGGCACACTGCCTCACCTTCTCTTCTTTCTCCCAGTTCCAGGCCTGCCCGGAGCCGCCACCAACTTACATCATGGGAAACCCAGAGATGTGATATCAGGGACATGGTGAGAAGTCCTCAAAGGTAGACCTCTGAGTCACAGGGTGGGGCAAGGGTGAGGCATTGCTGAGCCCTAAACCATCCAGGTTGGTTCTAAACACTCTGAAGCTACAACTGTGGGGGATTTTTAAGTAACAGCAAAAGCTGTGGTCTTCAGAAACTATATTTTTCACTTGGCCTATCTGGACAAAACAGATGAAATACAAAGGTGTATTATATCTACACTTTCAACTTATTCTGTTGGTAGTTGGGGGGGCTCAAAGTATCTTGAAACCATTGTGTCCCAACCGGCCTCATTTGCTGCCCTCGTTGAGGGGAACAATAGGAGTACTCTCTCTGAGACCACAGCTTAAAATCCTACCAAGTTGAATTACTTGAGATGTCTAATTGTGAGGTACTAAGGGGATGAGTTGAAACCCTAAAATCTAGCCATGTTTTGCTACGTCGCTAGTTCCATCAAATTCTAGCTTCTCCAGTGCAGTCTGAGTTGGTGCCTCTTCCATATCACTGGGTAAGGCTTGTGGTGTCCTGACCAAATAGATGGCATTCTTGAGGGAATTCTGTAACACATTCCTAGGGGGTTGGAATATTGTAGAGTTCCCCTTGGAGATTGCTTTCCTGAGCCTGAACTCACTCAACAGTAACCAACTCATTTTGTGAACCTACTATGCCCTGTGCCATAGGAGACATACAAATAATTTCCACCCTGCTCACCCACAAGCAGTTCATAGAAAGGCAGGAACAAGCCTCAAGGGGAGACTTCCTCTCTATTTTTGACAAGTATTGCAGGAGTAAGGACCTCTTGTTGGCTTCATCTGGCTTCCAGAAAACAGGCTGTCAGCAAAAATCAAATCCACCCTTGGAATGAGCATTGGCCACATTTTTTTAAAATATATATTTTATTGATTTTTTACAGAGAGGAAGAGAGAAGGATATAGAGTTAGAAACATCGATGATAGAGAATCATCGATCAGCTGCCTCTTGCACACCCCCTACTGGGGATGTGCCCGCAACCAAGGTACATGCCCTTGACCAGAATCGAACCCGAGACCCTTCATTCCGCAGGCTGATGCTCTATCCACTGAGCCAAACTGGTTTCGGCGCATTGGCCACTTTGTACAGCCATTCATGGCACTGTACTGTGGCTCAGACTGTGCCCGTCATTAGGGACAGCTAAACCAGGCTTGTGTTATTAGCCTCAGTGGCTAATAACAGTGACAAGTAGACACATTTGGTGTTTGCTGAGCTGACTGTAACAAGCCCCTGGGAGCAATTTCCAAAGAGGAAATTCCAGACAGATGTTGCAGTTAGCAGCGATGAAAGATAAGTGGGGCCTCCTGGGATCAGGGATCTGGGGGAACCCATAATAATTTGGACACCAAAGATCTGGTGTGTTCAGTTGTATCCAGCTCACAGGTTCTGTTTGCATCCCACACGTGAGTTAGGTAGGATCTTGATTGTCCAGAACCTGGCTTGGCTGGTTTGATAGTGCATGATAGAGCTGGTTCAGAGAATGTGAGGGAAGGTAAAGCAGAGAACAGACAAGCTAGGGCTGGTTAGCAACTTCTGCTGTGTCAGGAGCCCCAGAGTGAGGTTTCCCAAGCCCTGCCCTGATTTGCATTTTTTATTGTGAAGCCCATGGGATTTTTTCTTTTTCTTTTTCATTTCTTTTCTTTCTTTTTTCTTTTTTCTTTTTTTTTATCGAGGTATAATATACATAAAGTTCACCTTTTCCAGTTTATAGTTCTGAATACAGACAGTGGTATAACCACCACCACAGTCAAGCTATAGAATATTTTCAGCATCCCAAAAATCTCTCCTGTACCTCTCTGCAGCCGACCCCAACCTCCAACAACCACTTTCTGTCCTGATACACTTGCCTTTTCCAGAAAGTGCTATCAAGTGGCATTACACAGTAAACAAGCCTGTTGAGCCTGCCTTCTTTCACTAACCATGTATTTCAAGTGCATCTGCCTTAGTTCCTGTGTCAGCAGCTTGTTTCTTTTTAATGGCTGAATAATATTCCATCGTGTTGCTAGGTCAGTTTGTTTATCCATTCACCCACTGAAGGACATTTAGGTTTTAATGGCTGTCAGTAATTATGAGTAAAACCTTGATAATTACTGGTTCATGGGTTTTTATGTGAACATAGATTTTTATTTCACACTGGTGTTCTACCAAGGGTGGGATTGCTGGCTCATATGGCAGGTGTGCTTTTTTTTCTTTCTTTTAATATATTTTATTGATTTTTTACAGAGAGGAAGAGAGAGGGATATAGAGTTAGAAACATGGATGAGAAAGGATCATCTATCAGCTATCTCCTGCACACTCCCCACTGGGGACGTGCCCGCAACCAAGGTACATGCCCTTGACCGGAATCGAACCCGGGACCTTTCAGTCAGCAGGTCCATGCTCTATCTACTGAGCCAAACCGGTTTCAGCAGCAGTTGTGCTTTTTTTTTTTTTTTTTTTAATGTTTTTATTGATTTTTTACAGAGACAAAGAGAGAGGGATAGTATAGAGTTAGAAACATCGATGAGAGAGAAACATCAATCAGCTGCCTCTTGCACACCCCCTACTGGGGATGTGCCCGCAACCAAGGTACATGCCCTTGACCGGAATCGAACCTGGGACCTTTCAGTCCACAGGCCGACGCTCTATCCACTGAGCCAAACCAGTTTCGGCAGCAGTTGTCCTTTTAAAGGCCTTTTTGATGAAGAGAATTGAAGAGTGGTGATGTTCTTTTTTTATAATTAAGGCTTTATCATCATCTGAATCATATCTTACACAAATTGAGTGCTTATCAGAAGGCACACAGTGTGCTAAACACGCTACATTTCAGCATCTTATTCTCTGGGTGACCTCAGGCAAGTCACATGACCTCTGACAGCCTCAACTGTAAAATGATGGTTAACACTGGGCCAACTTCCTGGGATTATTGTGAGGATTCAATGAGTTAATACACACTGAGCACTTGAAAACGGCTTGGCACATAGTTAACTGTTATTATAATGATCATTTCCTGGCTCTTCTGAATTCCTTCCACATAGTTACCCTGTGTGGGAAGAGCTACTCTTATCCTCATTTTATAGAGGACACACCTAACACTCTGAAAGATCAAGCAAGTTGTATAAGATCCCACGGGTAGTAAATGAGTAAATTGTGGGTCTGGGATTTCCGCTGAGGCTGTCTAACCCCGGACTCTCCTGCTTAGTTCCTGTATCCGTCAGGAGTCTACCAAAGAACCAGAACCAGAAGGCTATATGTGTTTGTGAGTGTGTGAGTGTATTAGGAGATTTATTTTAAGACCTTGGCTTATATGATTATGGGGACTGGCAAGGCAAGTCTGAAATTTGTAGGGTAAGACCAGAAGGCTGGAAACTCTTGGCCAAAAGTTGATACTTCTTCTGCAGGGAAACTTTGGTCTTTTCATTTATAGTTCATTTTTGTTTTGTTTTTTAATTATTTTCAATTACAATTTACATTTGATATTATTTTGTATTAGTTTGAGATGTACAGCATAGTGGATAGACAATCATATACTTTAGAAATGTTCCCCCTGATATTGCCAGCACCAAACTGTCACCATACTTATTACAATACTAGAGGGATTGGGGGGTCCCTAGCCCAGCCTGCCCCGTGTCACAGTCTGGGAGCACTCAGGGGTGGGAGGGGACCAGGCGATCAGGAGAAGGCGATACCCCATCACATCTCTGCTGCTAGCACTGCCGACAGTGCAAGCTTCAGCTGGCCTTGGTTACCTGAGCCTCGGGCGGCCCTGGGCAGCTGGGGGGCTGAAGGGACTGGAAACTCAGAGGGCAGACCCAGCCTTGCCACATGCCTGCCTCCCCAGTGGGGCTGAGGGAACTGGGCACCGCCATCTTGTGGCTGTGAGCATCGCCATCTTTTATGGTGGGACAGTCAATTAGCATATTCCCTCCTTATTGGCTGTGGACACCACCATCTTTGCAATGGTGTGAGGGTCAATAAGCATATTCCCTCTTTATTAGTTAGGATTGTTGACTATATTTCCTATGCCATACTTTACACCCTCATAATTATTCAGGAACTACAAAGCTGTACTTCTCAATCCCTCTGCCTTTTTCACCTAGTCCCCAAACACCCTTCCCCTCTGAAAACCATCAGTCTGTTCTCTGTATCTGAGTCCTTTCCTATTTTGTTTATATTGTTCTTTAGATTCCATATATAAGTGGAGTCATATGGTATTTGTCTTTCTTTAATTGACTTATTTCACTTAGCACAATACCCTTTAGGTCCATCCACACTGTTGCAAATAATAAGATTCATTCTTTCTTCACAACTAATATTCCATTGTATATATGTAGCACAGGTTTTTTAATCCAGTCATCTATTTTTAATTTAGTTTTGTTAATCCTCACCCAAGGATATTTTTTCTTTTTTTAAATATATTTTATTGATTTTTTACAGAGAGGAAGAGAGAGATATATAGAGTTAGAAACATCAATGAGAGAGAATCATCGATCAGCTGCCTCTTGCACACCCCCCACCGGGGATGTACCCGCAACCAAGGTACATGCCCTTGACTGGAATCGAACCTGGGACCCTTCAGTCCACAGGCTGACGCTCTATCCACTGAGCCAAACTGGTTTTGGCCCAAGGATATTTTTTCCATTGATTTTTAGAGAAGAGTGGAAGGGAAAAAGGGAAGGAGGATTGGTTGCCTCCTGAACGTGCCCTAACCAGGGCTGGGGATTGAACCTGCAACCCAGGTAGGTGCCCTTGACCAGAAATTGAACCTGAGACTTTCAGTGTGCAGACTGACACTCTAACCACTGAGAACACTGGCTAGGACATATCCACTCATCTATTGATGGGCACTTGGGTTACTTCCACTGCTTGGCTATTGTAAATAATGCCACAATGGACCATAGGGGTGCATCAGTCTTTGTTTTTAAGGCCTTTCAGTGTTTGCTTTTAAAGCCTTGCAACTGATTGAATGAGGCCTACCCAAATCCAGAGTCATCCCCTGCACTTAAAGTTAGCTGATTGGTGATATTAACCACATCTACAAAATCCCTTCATAGCAACAACTTGATTAGTGTTTAATTGAACAACTGGGTAGGAACTTTGGAAGCTGTCACATTTGTAACTCTAAACTAAATTTATCCTATAAAATAAATACTAGCTTGTAAGTATAAGCAAGTCCCGAAACTCTGGGTTTTTCCCATAATATGACTCTTCCGCTATTTATGTAACTTTTTAAAAATCAAACTCTCTTTCTCCCATGATTGTTTCATGGCCCTGCTATGCTATGCCAATGGACACCAACCCATACACAGCCTCCAGGCTGACAGTGTGTGTCCTAGCCCCCGGGGTCTGTGAGTGGCCATGGTGGGTCGGAATCCCCCTACTAGACCACAGGGAAGGCCATGGTCATCGTTTCAGGAGTCCCAGGTTGCACAGGATAGCAATCGTTGAACTTTTTGTTGTGTTACCAGGCAGCTGGTGAGTCAGCAGCCCCTCACTCAACAAGAGGGTTTGTTACCGTTCTGGGAGCACTGCCTGTTTGCCAGGCCTGTCCCAGGCACCTGACAAACGTTGACCCATGTCAACTTCAGAGCTCTATGAGGCAGGGACAACCACCATCCCCGCTGTACAGATTAGGAAACTGAGGCCAAGAATAGTTCGCTGGGTGAGTAGCCCAAGGTCATGCAACCAGGAAGTGCTGGAACCGGAAATGAAACCCAGCTGTCCGGCTTTAGAGCCAATGTCTCACCTCCCTGACCTCCCAAGCAGTACTTCCGGGAACCCGCCCCCTCGATGGCCCCACTGCCTGCCCCCTCTTCCCTATGCCTTTCCCAGGCTACATGCCTTTCTGAGCCTTCTTTTCCCATCAGCCCTGTCCTGGACCACAGGCATCCCTG